TAAATGATTAATAAGGATTTAATTGACTTAATAGTAATTGTTATCGTTGGGTTGCATCTACTGGAGGATTGTACAGTAATGACCTTAAAAGTTCAAGCATTCAACCTCCGATCTGTAGGTTGTGGTTTCAAACATTACTGACAAATACTCCTGTAATCGAGTAGTATCGCTGATGGTCGTGCACAAAATTTGTTGCTATCTTTAGGGTGGTGTTTGAGCTTGCCTATCGTGATGAACTAATCGAGCTATACTGGCTTGAACAATCGTTCTCCAAGGTCCTACCATACCAAACAGGTCTGTTGATGAGCGGTAAGACTAAAAGCAACAAACCCAAGGTCCGAAGACGAAGTCGTAGTGTGACGACAGTAAGGTGTTTCCTTCAGACAACCAGCGTGACAGCGATGCTGCCTTCTCACAAGGAAGGGTGGGGTTAGAAAAGGTCAACCCTAAAGATGTACACCTCGCCTTGTCCCACGGATATCCGTCTCCGGTGGTAAGGTCTCAACAAGTACGGAGCTAACACGAAAATTACTCATAAAAAAGTCATGTGTGACCGACCTCAAGCAGTTGTGCCTTGGGCACTGAGGTCACGCTCTCAGGTCATTAAGACCACCTCTAATTCAATTTCCTTTTCAGGTACCTCTAGAAGAACCCTTCCACGGTGTGGGCAACCGGGTAGTGATAACCGCCCTCGTACCTCTAACAGCACCACTGTATTCACAATCAACCTCCCTCTTCAATTCCTATTACTCCTACATCGACTTCCAACTCTAAACTTCCTCTTTTGGTTTCCTCCTCAAGTGTCGCCATAGCCAACGATTCGAGTGCGCAAAACACTGTTCAATGTCTACTGAAACCTCGCTCCAAACTACACATTGGAGCATTCAATGTACGCAGCACCCTATGTCAAATCGGTCAACAGGCTTCCTTGGCTAAAACTAGAATCTCGTACTATTGATGTATGCTGTGTCTCCGAAACACACATACAATATCCTAGTGTGATTATTCACTAGACCTCACCTCGCCAAAATGGAGAGCCGACGCGATACACCCTCTGTGTATCTGGCGACCCGATGGTTAGTTCTTGAGGACTGGCAGGTGTAGACATAGCACTAAGTACGAGGACGGAACAAGCACTATTAGAGTGGATCTCCGTTAACAGTCATCTATGCGCTGTTCGGCTAAACGGCTCCGTAAGAACTCGGAAGGATAGGGACATACATCGTTGTCTTTTCGTCGTTTCTCCCTACGCTTCCACTGTCTGCAGAACTGATGAACTGAAAGATAACTTTTACAGAAAGCTAAACACTCGGACATTTAGGTGGGTATTTTAGTATTCCGGCAGAGGGAACAGATAATGGTGATCGTCTGCTGCAACTGTGCTCCGACATTTGTTTATTTTTAACAAGCACCAATTTTAAGTATAAGGAGAAGCATCGCCTAACATGGCGACCTCCTTCACCAAACCAACAATGGACTCAAATAGACCATATTGCTATCAGTCTTCGTTGGAGAGGGTCGATAGAAGGTTGTCGCTCATTATTGAGTACCTGCTTTGACTCCGACCATGCTCTAATACGGGCAAGCATCTGCTTGCGCCTCACTGGACGCAAAAATTGAGTAACGAGGAAACCAAAAGTAGGTTTCAGGAACAACTGAGGTCACACTTAGGTAGTTTCCATTTGGGCGCCAACAAAGAGTACGGGTGAACTTCAGGTTGTCTAGCTTGGAAACTGTGTTTAGCGGGGTGCTTCAGGGTAAAACCTTTGATCCAGTGTTATTCCTCTTATATGTAAATAACGTTTCTCTTCTCCTATCACCATCAGTCTTTCCATATGCTGCCGATGCCAAGATACTGAGAGCGATATAAATTGGAGATGTTAGCTTAAAACTTCAAAATGACCTGGAGAAATTATCCGAATGATCTGAAATTTGGCGGTTTCCGATAAATACTTTCAAGTGCATTGTGATGCATATTAGCTACGAAGGTACAGATATATGCACAGTGAATAACATTGAGCTACCTGTTGTCCAGATACACAGTGATTCAATAGCCAACGTTAGCCAATACCTAAAAGCTATTGCACACTTCCGTGCCATAGCCGCCAAAGGTTTTAGAACCCTATGGTCAGTACGTAGGGCCTTTAGCCATGTCGATGCTAAAAACTTTTTGACCTTGTATACAGCATTCGTGCTTCGTAAACGTGATAACTCCATACAGGTGGCTAGTTTCTGCCAAAAAAGACTGAGTTTTTGGAAAATTTTCAGAGAACATCAACTAGGTTGATTTCCGGAATTGCGAAGTTCGATCGGCCAAACTAAACCTATTCGCGTTGTTATATAGAATAACTAGAGGTGACCTGATTACAGTTCTGAAACTACCTATTGATGAATTCTCACCTGATATGCTCTTATTTTTTGTCTTCCAAAACAGAAAATCTTCGAAGACCCTCCAAAAAATTTACAATCGTGAAAAAATTACTTGGCTGAAGCTCTATCTGTAGACTCTGACAACAGAAAGTTTGATAATTTGAGAGATCATAATTGTCAAGACTAACACAGGCCAACAAACATTCTGTCCTTTCCAAACTGAAACTGAAGATATTGGGTATCACAGGAATTTTGGTGCTACCAAAAATATGAAAACATCGACAAGAGCACAGTTAGCACTCCATAGAGGTACGATAAAAATTCGTGAGATATATAAAGATTATTTGTGTACATAGCTTACAACAGCATCTTTAATTCTGAGAAGTAACTATTACAAGGTTATGGCGCACATATCAAATTAGCAAACAGATTTTGGGTCTGGGTGTTTTTTTTCTCAACGTCACATGAGTTAATAAGCTTGGTTACTTCAAACTATGAGCATTACTTGGGATTCGAATAAATTATTGGTCCAACAATAGAGAATAAGCTGTACAAGATGGAGATGTAAATGTAATTAAGAATTACATTTTAACAGGCTTTTGTAAATGCATGTACAGATAATTTGGGGACATTTCAAAGTAATCTTCACCATGTGGTCTAACAAAATTCTATTATGTTCAGGAAAAGAAGATGTGTTGACTGAACTTATCAGATCATGATTGCAATTAATCGTAAAATAAAGATTAAGTAAAGTAGTCGAAAAACCTTGGTTGTCAAGACAGATGAAGGCGAACCACTGACGTCCAGTGTTCAAGAGTCAGTTTTAAGCTTCACAGTTGGTATGGCTTCAACGAGTCTCAATACCGTAGATTTGGGCTGTCTGTTGAATATTTCAAGTGGATTCACTGCACTCACCTAATGTACTGTTTTTATTTGTTGTCATGCTATTGAACTAAGAAAGTTTATTGTCATTACATGGTGAAGATTACTTTGAAATGTCCCCAAATTATCTGTACATGCATTTACAAAAGCCTGTTAAAATGTAATTCTTAATTACATTTACATCTCCATCTTGTACAGCTTATTCTCTATTGTTGGACCAATAATTTATTCGAATCCCAAGTAATGCTCATAGTTTGAAGTAACCAAGCTTATTAAATCGTGTGATTTAAAGAAGAAAACAGCAAGATCCAGTGAATCTACCACATTCTGCAACTTATATATCTATTACTGTATTAGAATTTGTAAAACAAGCCATCTAAGTGCAATAATGTAGTCAGTAATTTTTCTGAGAAGCCGTTCGTTGATTTCATGATGAATTCTTATTGAATTATTTAAATAGCAGTGAATTGTTGGGACTATGATTTTGTCAGACGATCAATTTAAAGACTTCTGGAATTTGTGTTGGGGTTCAAAATGCGATCTAAATATCCTTACTAACTTGACGTTGTAGTGCCTGAGATTGAGAATTCAGAGTAGAAGGTCTTAGAAGTAACTGGAGTTTGTAATACGTACTCAGAATATTGTATTTATGAAGTACTTATCCACACCTATTATGTTTTGTAAGATTTGACTCGGTGATTATTGTAGGGAGCTCATATCAATCACTTTAAGCTCTAATCATTGTATTAATAAGAAAACTGATCATAAGGGGCTCCGTAGTATTAAAAATTTGATGTGTAGCTTTATTATTTCAAGTTTCAGTTATATCCAAATGTATTTCTTAACTGAAGGGAAGTAGTATACAATTATTCTCGGGACTTCAAGTTCGGTTGCTTGATTTAACACGGCAGGTTCTCGATCACTTTTATCACTTGTATGTAGGGAAGCCGAACCTGACGGAACATTGTTTATTAATGTTAGGCATATAGTTATAAATAAGGTAATTTTTCCGGTTAATAATTGAATAGGACTGAGGTAATTGGGAAGTTGTATATATGTTTTCCCACCTCGTCGTTTCACGGTAACTGTAGTGCATACGAAATAGTAAAAGCATCACGAGAATCAAATAAAAACGTACAATCAGTTCCTTCTTCCAAGTTGTATTAGAGGAGGGGGTGCTAAGTACTTAATCTGACTCAGGATTTAGAACTAAGAACATGTACAAGATCACTTAGTTTCCATAAAACTGTCATTCCATGATTAGTTTTAATATTAATGCCGACAATTCCCGTAAATAATCTATCTTTGTGAGGCTTCACTGATTGGGTAGTATTATTTTTCCTTACATATCGACTAAAAGTCAATGTCATATGTAGCTGTTAATCTATCTTTGTTACATTTATATTTTTTATAATAATTGCCACTGTTGTTTTTGTATCATCTGACCAATTTTTTTGCTTCAGTCCATTCACCTCCCCCCTCTTCCATCTCTCCGTGAAATCATCCATGTTTATGGTATTCGAGCTCAAAAACAGTTATCCCAAAACTTTCTTTTACAATCATCATCTATAAATGGACTAGTCAAATGTGCAGGGAACCTTCGTGGTGCATATGTTCTTGAAGTTGGTCCAGGTCCTGGCGGGATTACTCGGGCGATTCTTCAGAAAGCTCCACGTTATGTTGCCGTCGTGGAACTAGATAGAAGATTTATTCCTGGTCTTCAGGAATTACGGCTTGCTGCCTTTGAAATGGGGATCCAAATGGATATATACAGACAGGTATCTTTATTGCTCGATATATGCAGGTGATTGTCATTATTCTAGTTTTTAGTTATGCTTCCAAACCTTCGTCACTTATTCTTACTTCGTTCTATATGTTTAACAATAGATACCCAACTGATACCTCTTACACTAACGTATATGTGCCACTTAAATACATAGATGTTTTCACTAAATAATGCATTAGGCAAAACGGAACGAGAATCCAATGAAGACGCAGTAAAATAGTTGTTTATTTATTATTTATTTGAACACATAAATATTGGTACAAGAGGGCACCAAATATATATGCGCCACACAAAACAATGAGAACTTGAAAAGAAAAAAAAAGAAAAGGGTAAGGAGCGTAAAAAAAGAAAAATAACTAATAGATTAGTGTAAGGTAGTGTAATAATAATAATAATAATAACAATAATAATGGGGGAAACGGCAAAGTACAATCAGGGGAAATCTTTCAGTTAAGGAAGATACAACCACTTTATGAATAAATTAAAAGAAGGTTACAACAGGATCGCCACTGGCTTCTATTCTGAGTCATATCGGATAACGTCTCTAGCCATTGTGTTACACCATCTCTCGGACCCCAGCCAGGGAGTCGTGAAAAACCAACAGAAGCCAGCCCTTTGTAGCCTTCTTTCGTACCACGACACAATGTCATACACTGACCACCTCTTCGCTTTTTCCAAACAGTCCCAGCGTCGGCAAATAATGCACGACGAGGAATTCTCTGGGACGACATTCGTAGAACATGTCCAAGCCACCGAAGTCGGTGTTTCAAGATGGTGACACCAATTTCATTATCGTCTCTGTGACCGAACACTCGATGCCGAACTTTTGCAGTGTTAACATGGTGTTGCCACTGGATGCCAGCAATCCTTCGGAGACAACGGTGATCAAACACAGAGAGTCGTCTAACATCCCCAACTCGGAGAGGCCAGGTTTCACAAGCATAGAGCACAACTGCTCTCACCGTCGCGTTGTAGATCCGACCTTTTACAGCCAGACTAACATCACGAAGGCGCCAGAGATGGCCCAGATTGGCATAAGCCGCTCTGGCTTTCACTATACGTGCATTGATCTCATCACTCACACCACCACCAACACTTATGCAGCTACCTAGATACACGAACTTCTTGACTACTTCTATCTGCTCACCATCCAGAGTGAGTACAGGATTAGAATCCTGCCAGTCATGTAGAAGTACTTTGCACTTCGAAGGTGCAAAGCACATACCATACCTACGGACACTGATTGCCAACTGATTAAGTGCGGATTGCATGGCTTGGGCATTCTTGCACAGTAAGACAATATCATCCGCATACTCATCGTACACAAATACGATGAAATGTTGATAGTAAAATAATTGGTTGATGTATAAATCAAGTTAATGAAGATTTTAAAGTACATCCTAATGTCTACATTAGGGAAAAACCCTTGGGCTCGCCTTTGAGGCTTTAGTTGTGAATCACGTTTGATAATGTCTTAAGGCCCTAAAATGCATAATCCCTGTGACCATTGATACGATCATGGGGGACCTAAATATGCCAATTCAATACAACTCCCCCACCCTGAATGATATAAACCAAAATTGGTTACCGCGATGCAGCCACACCCTTGTATTCCTTCCAACCTACTTATACTCCAGTTATTCTTGAACGTAGCTGTTATCTTGACAGTGGTCGGGTTTGCCTATCGTGATGACTAAAAAAGCTATATTGGCTAGAACATATGTTCCTTTTAGTCCTGCCATACCAGGCAGGTCCGTTGGAGAACGGTAAGACTAAAAGCAGCAACTTAAGGGCCGAGGGCGATGTAGTAATGCCGGCTGTAAAGAAAGGTGTTTCCCTCGGACAACCAGCATCTGCAACTGTGTTGCCTCCTCACAACGGAAGAAAGGGGCTAAAAAAGTTTGACACACTATCACCTTGCCCCACGAATTTCCGTCCCTGGCGTTAAGGCCTTTTAAAGTGCACAGCTAACGCATCAAAAACTTCAATAAAAAGGCCGTGCGCAACTGGACTCTGCGGTCACGCTCCAGTGTTTCTAAGACCACCACCAATCCGGCTACTTTTTCAGGTTCATCAATAAGGAATATCTGTCCACGGTGTGCACATCCTGTAAGTGAAAACCGCACTTATATCTCTGTCAGCACCCGACATAATCTTTCTGACGATCAAATCCCTCCCTCTTACTTACTTACTTACGCCTGTTACTCCTCGCGAAGGAGCATAGGCCGCTCACCAGCATTCTCCATTCAACCCTGTCCTGGGCAATCCTTTCCAGCTCTTTCCAGTTGTTATTCATCCTTTTCATATCCGCTTCTATTTCCCGTCGTAATGTGTTCTTTGGCCTTCCTCTTTTCCGCTTCCCTTCAAGATTCCAAGTTAGCGCTTGCCTCGTGATGCAGTTTGATGATTTGCGTAATGTATGTCCTATCCATTTCCATCGTCTTTTCCTAATTTCCTATTCAGCTGGAAGCTGGTTTGTTCTCTCCCACAGTTGGCTGTTGCTGATGGTATCCGGCCAATGGATGTTGAGTATCTTGCGTAGACAGCTGTTGATAAATACTTGTACCTTCTTGATGGTGTTTGTTGTAGTTCTCCAGGTTTCAGTTCGGTACAGTGGAACTACCTTGATGTTCGTATTGAAGATTGTGACTTTGATATTGGTTGAAAGTTGTTTTGAGTTCCATATGTTCTTCTCCATCATCTCTTATTAATTGTTCTATCCCTTTGACTAACCTGTCCCGCATATCCTTATCACGATGCTCCACCAATGCCGATGATTTGAGTCCACGAAATATTATCCATGGTCTCCTGATACCATGCTACGAACCTTATATTTGATTTTTTTAAATGTTTGAACATTGTTTTAAATGGGAAAATAGGCTTATTCAGCCAGGACTCTAAAATCTCGCGCTATCGATATTTGCTACATCTCCTAAACGCGCATACAGGATCCAAGTAGTAATTCACTTTACCTAACCTTATTAATATAAAGAGTCGGCACGATTCACTCTCTGAGTACATGGAGACTCCACTGCTACTTCCCGTGGCCTCTCTGGTATATGTATATCATTAGGTTTTGAAGTAGAATAGGATTTGTTAGACTGAATTCCAACAGATTCGCTTTTGCGCTGTTCGACCAAACAGTACAGTAGAAACTTGATAAGATAGGGACACATGCCATTGCCTTTTCATTGTTTCTGTCTACGCTCCCATTGATTGCAACTGGGACGAAGTTTGAGATGAGTCTCATAGGAAGTTATCGAACCTCCTAAAAGCCGAACGCTCTGGTGTAGTAATAGTGGAAGGCGGTTTTAATGCTCAAGTAGGTAAACTAAACCAAATTTAAATGGACCTAGGCGGCTGAGAGAACAGATGACGGCGACCGTCTGTCGCAGCTATGCTCATATAATCTTCTATTTCTGGTAAACACTAACTTTTAACATAAAGAGAAACATCGTTTGATGTGGCCCCCCACAATCGACTCGTCGATGGACTCAAATAGATCACATTATTTTTTATTTATTTATTTTAACACATAAGTATAGGTACAGGGAGGCACCAAGTACATATGCGCCACACGAATCTCAATTGATTTGTGTGAGGGCTGTGATACTGCCCGGGTGCCCAAACCGAAGCAGATGGTTTTCTTAGGGGGCTACTCCCCGAGCCTTCGACCTGAACGTCTGACCCACAAGGCAGTGGAGCATAGTGAGGAGATGCAGTCCATGGTAGCTGGTGACCAACGATTGGTTCATACGCCATTTGTTCCTTCAGGATACTGGAGCCTATGTGCACCATTGGTTTGGGGTCCGGTTAAATCGCCGGACACATTGCCATTGGTGATCGTTAGAGGTGTTCGATAGATGACTATCGCTCATTGTGGAGCACATGTTTAGACTCGGATCATTCTCAGTTCAAGGACGTACTTATTTGAATCTTACTGGACGTAGAAAAGCCACACCAAGTAAACCCTTTATAGTTCAACTTGATAATGAAAAAGTTAAAAATATATTTCAGGAACAACTGGTGGAGTTAATCGGCGGTGAAAGTGATATCCACCCCAAGGTAGCTTGGCATAGTATCCAAGAAGCTGTGGAAATAGCAGTGATATCTACCAGTAACTTAAATCAAAGATCAAGGGAAGTAGGTGGATTTCAGCGGCGTCTATAAAACTGATAAATGTTCACGTCAGGGAACAGTTCAACTAACTTTCAACCACACTTCAATTACCCATTATTTCCAAGCAACTTGAATGCCAAACTGACGTAAGTCCTGCGAATCTTGGTGGGATTGGAAAGGCTATAAGCAATCTAAAACGAGTCAGAGCACCAGGGTCTGATGGACTAACCCCTGAAAATTTTAAGTATGGTTGTCCAGCTTTGTCAGTTAGATTACCTGAAATCTTGGCTAAAATCTGGAAACGAAATGTAATCCCATCTGACTTGTCTCAATCAACGATCATCCCAGTCTATAAGAAAGGAAAAAATTCACAAAGGAATTAGTTTCACCAAATGTGTTTAAAATATTAGCCTTAATAATACTTTGACGTCCAACTACAGCTCATGAGGATCAAATTTGAGAAAATCATGCTGGTTTTAGACCTGGATGTTGATGTATAGACCAAACATTACACCCCTGTAAATTCTGGAACATAGTCATACTTTTCGACATCCGACTACAGTTGTATTCTTTAACTTGAAGGCGGCGTCTAACTCCGTTTACCGTGAGGTCGTGTGTCAGTGTTTGTCAATGAAAGGCCTACCAAAGAAATACGTTAACCTTGTAAAGGCTCTCTATTGGAACACAACTGGCGAAATCTCCGTCCCAATCAAAGGACGAGTTCACTGCACACCAGTTCGCTCCGTTTCACTTCGTGGATATGAAATATGGCCACTAAGAATAGGGGACATTCATAAGTTACTGGTATACGGTCATAGGTATCTTGGAAGCATTGCTCGTGTATTTTGGGACCACGAAGTCAGCAATGCTTGGGTTAAGAACAGAGTACTAGGTAAAGATAGGAAATCGACTGGTGAGGTAGTAAATCTTCATCAACTGAGGTATTTGGGACATCTGCTACGTATTTTAACGTGCGATGTTTTCTGTTGCAGGAGTAAGCCGGTAGAGAGCTACGGGTGGCCAAACAAAAACATAGCATCAGTTTAGAAACTTTGAATGACATAGCTCGAGATCGTTTGCAACGGCACAGGTATATCCGTTCTTTATCTTCCTCCATGTTCTGAAATTCTAGTCTCAACTCCTTTTTGCTTTTATTTCACTAATATATATTTTCCTATCGATTGGTATATTCGATACCTAATCCTTTCTACTACAACTGATTATGTTACTATTACTATCCTGGGATTCGGCCTGACGGTCTCATCTATCTGTGCTAGTGGGGTATAGTAACTTGAATCGACGTACATACGTACCACGTTCTGCGTTGTGATTGACGGGCTGGTCCCAATTTTCACCTCATGTTCGGATTGACAAATTTTTTCGAGTGGTCCACTATTTTTGGTTGTTTCTCTGAATTCAACACCCTGATTGTCCATTATAGGTAAAGTGAGTAACCCACTCGTTTACCATTGTCTATTACAATACCATTCAATCGGATACTACCCAAGCGTGTGTCGATTGGAACACACTTTGAAGTGCAATGATTGCTTGAAATTACGATGTTGTATTTAGATGTGCTCAATATGGAAATATTTCTGTAGAATCTCAAGTATGCGGGGTAAATTGTTTGCGTTCAAATTCTTATTCAAGTGATTTATAGTAAATAGCTACACTTATGTAATGTGTGAAAGTTTTAGAGATAAAGGATCCACACACGACAGTAAAATAGGATAGTTATAAAACCTAGGACTGGAGATTATGATGTGGACAAACTTATGTTAATGCTGAGGACATCTACCGATATTTTTCTGTATTGCGACACACCAAATTTATAACACCGTTCGTAACTACGTTCAACTGTTAACTACTGAGGTATGGCATTCCCCTAAGAAGAGTTCTTAATAAGTACACTACTGTCAGCTCTGAACTCAAATACGTTCTCAGGACTGGAATCACGATAGGATGTCGCATACAATAGGCAATTTAGTAATCAATGAAATCTTTCAACCAGTAGTCTGTAGGATCAATTCTTTCTCCACGTACTTCAATTTTAGCAGCCAGGTGTTATCAGTCACACAAACAGTATGACTGAAAGCTGATTAAAAGTATTTCTTAATTATTATTGGCTAAGTTTTCACTTCTGCCCACTTTCCCCACATTTCATTTTTAATGTAAACATTGACCTTATTCTTTTAATATCATACAAATTGGTCTTTTATCCCGAAGCTATCATTTTTTGAAATTCAGCAGGTGGTAGTCTTGTTTGTTACTGAGGTGTCAGGGTAGGTATCCTTTAATAATGGACCTGGCAACTCAATAAATGTGAATATCTATAGGGCGACTTATCAGTACAATAAAATAATACTACTAATGTATTAAGTATAATAAATCAAGAGTGAGTATTTAAAGGGTGCATATTTGATAAAGATAAAGGAATGAAAAATAACTAGCAGTTCATTTTAAAATGATTTAATTAGATTTAGAGTACATTTACAAGCGATAAAATGCAGATATTGAGCTAACTTATGATTAATTAATTATCATCAATTTTATTGTATATTCTTCCTAAAATGAAATATTTAATTAGAGTTCTGAACCATACAATTATATATAAAGACAACATACTACATTCCAGGTTATATACTTTCTATACCTGATTGGAACGGCATCAGAATGTATAGAGTGTAACAAGGGTGCCAAATCTTTTAATAAAGTGACTATTCCTTTTGAAAAGAGAGAGTGTCTAATAACAGGAAGGTTTGTAGATGTACGGAATATCCTACGGGGAAGTACATGTTGCGCCATCACGCGAAGCATAAAGTTATTATAAAATAGCCAACGAAACAGTCATGTTATAGATGAAGCTATGTTTGATGCTGCATAAGTAATTAGCAAAATCAAAGATCGATTAGCTGCTTCAGTAGAAGTATAACTTAGATCTCAACTACGGTATCCGCTGTTTTATCCTGTACAGTATCAGCCCAGACTGTAATATAGATATTTTAACTGGTACGACTTGTCTGTTATTTACTCCTACTTAGCGTTCGCTCGTAAAATAATTAGTTTCTTTAGAATTTGTACGAAAGTTTAGTCTTCGAGATTATTCGACCGAAAGCTCTAGGATTTGAATATGATGATTTTACCTTTTCAGTCACATCAGCGTTACATTTCTCATATGTATGTACAGCTTTCTTAGTCATATGTTGTTAAGTGTTTGCGATCAGTTCACTTTTTTTTTAACCACTTTATGTTCCTAATGCTATATATATTGGCGATATCTACTTCTTCCTGTCAGTTAACTAAATAATTAAGGTTAGTCGAGGTACATGTGTTTTACATTACTGTCTAACTAGGGTTGGTGTTTTTAGTTCTCGTTGAACCAGTTAATGCTAGAATAATACTTGTTTTGGACTGTTTAGCGGAAAAATTATGATTTTGTGTTCAATAATATATCCCTACCGTTTGACAATCTAATTATTTTCGAACTCTGTCTTGTATATATGAATTGCAGGATATTCTAAAATTTAATTGTGAAGGTATTTTTCCCATCAGTTCTATGACTGGTGCAGGAGCATGGGACGAGTTACCTGTGGTGGCAAACTCAAATTTAGCAGAATCTACATCAGAAAATCGAAATGAAACTGCACTAGAAAAAATAAGTTCACCACGCTTGTGTGTGATTGGAAACTTACCATTCAATATTTCTACTCCTTTGATTTCTCAATGGCTTCATGATATTGCTGAGCGACGAGGAATTTGGCGATATGGACGAGTCCCTTTGACATTGACTTTTCAAAAAGAAGTTGCTGAACGACTTGCTGCGGATGTATGGGATGAACAGCGTTCTCGCTTATCTGTCATGTCACAAGCATACTGCGATGTAAGAATTTTATTTATATAAAAGTTTTCGTCTACTGTTTTTGTCTTAATCTTGTTTTGTCGTTAGTTATATTTTGCTAATTCCTCTTGTGAGGAGGAGGAATCAGCAAGGAAGAATCAGTTTGGCTGATATAGCATCTAAAATATTGACACATTTGTTGACTAAAACAAATTGGTGAAAAACGATGTGTTTTCAGATCTAAACGGAAATTTACTGACTGAATATTCACTCTTCGTCAAGTTTTGAGGAATAGACGCACCTACTGACACTCAACTATAGTTGTTTTTATTGACCTTAAGACAGCGTTCTACTCCGTTAATCACGAGGTTGTGTGGCAATTTTTTATCATTGAAAGGTGTGTGGAAGAAGTACACTAACTTTGCGAAGTGTTGTTGATCGAACACTATTGAGTATGAGCTAACTGACCACTCGCATCACAATTGCTGGACTCTAGTGGTGTTCGTTAAGGTTACTCACTGCTCTCCGTTTTATTCGGTATCTGTTTAGTAGTTATTATATAATTGCCCATAAAATTCGAATTCAGTGTCGTTGTCATTACTTGTTTTGTATATACAAGTAATAATCTATTTTCTGTTATTCGTTGGATGTAATATTCATAAAATTTAAGATTTGTGTTGCTGGTTTTATAAACTTAATTAAATCAATTAACAGATTGTCGTTATAAACCGAAGTCAAATTCAGCAACACCTATAAACCAAAGCTCAATGGTCAGTTCTGTCACAGCTCAAAATTTAGTGTTAATTACAAAACTTTTCATTTTAACATTTGAATTATTTCCTGGAAATTTCATAGTTGATAGTTTCCACATTTAGAAATCTGAGGTAGGTGTGAAAATCATAAGCAGCTGATAATTAAGTACGGTTTCAAGATATCGTGAATTTAAAAAATATCAATGGATAAATTCTGATTGTAACTCGACTATGATGTTCTGGCAACAAAGCCATGATGTTCAGGTTTAATCTACAAAGAAATTAAAGATATCTAGTGCGTATTAATCCTAAAGCTGAAAGATTACTTTTTGATGATTTTTGAGTGTCAGTATGAGTTTATTTTTCGCCAGTAATTTTTTTATATGTTGTGAAATTGTGTTCGGTTAACGACTAGGTTGCGTCAGTGCTGCCTGGTGTGTATATAATGATTTATCTGGACACTTGACTTTAAATTGGTTTGGTAACAAGTTTTAACCTTATTCCTTCATACTGAGATTTTGAACAATCAAATGATGTCACTACTTATAACTCAATAGGACTCAATAGTCTAAAATACAAACATATAGAACGTTGTTTAGTCATATACTTCATTGTTTCTGTGCACTTCTATGGTTATAATTATTTGATTTACCGTTCGTAATTCCTTATTTCTAGGACAATTTTATTAGTTATCCCTAAAGTAAGATTGGCCTTTTTTGTTTGATGGTTCAAATTTGCATTGTTTTCATGTATTATAATATGTTCATTTTTAATTTTTGAAATGTAATAGGTTAAATACATGAAGGATATTCCAGGTACTGCTTTCGTTCCTCCACCAAAAGTAGATGTTGGTGTCGTTCGTCTAATTCCTTTAAAACAACCGCTTATTCCTGTACCGTACCCGTATGTTGAAAAATTGGTACGTCAAGCATTTCACTTTAGGTAAGGATCACGTATTTTCTTATTATGTTACAGTTTATTGAAATTTGTTCTTCCGGAGTAATGGTGCATATATAATAATCCCAATTTTCTGTACAAGTTTACTAATTACAATGTATTATAATCTGTTGTTAAAGTGTTTACCGAAAGAAATTAGAACTCAGAGATAAATGATCGTTATTTCTATTCCCTGTGGTGCCGGTATTTACCAGCATTGATTTTCACTACTTTCAGCCACTATAATTTCTTTGATCAGTAGCAATAAATTGTAATTTTTTCCTAACTTCTCACAGTTTCTTATTTGATTGATCTATTGTAACCCATTTACGAAGTATAACTTTATACACAGCTATGAGTCATCATCTTCAAATAAACAATAAACTAACAATTCTTTCCGATTACATTTATCTTTAACTCCAGCGCACCATTTCATAGACTGATCATTCTTCTACCTTTTCCATCCAGTCATAGCGTCACTAATGCACAATATAATGGAATGACGTAGAAAGTACTGTGAGCAAAAGTTATTGTTCCTGTCAATTTTGTAATGGTTCCTGTTGTTCTATTTATAGTTAAACCATAGCACTGAGCTACAATACCCGAATGTTTGGGATGCGCTTCTCTCCCTCTAAATGCAAGTTGTTGCTTCAGGACTGGCCTGCGTCAACACTTGAACTAAGGATAGGGAGTGAAGTAGTAGAACGCGTTGACAACTTCACCCATCTTGGAAGTCTGACCAGCCCTAATTGCTTGGTGTCCGACGAAATCTCAGCACGGATTCGAAAAGCTCGTTTGGCCTTTGCCAACTTACGTCATCTATGGCGAAGGCGAGATATCCGTCTATCAATTAAGGGACGAGTATACTGCGCGGCAGTTCGCTCCGTTCTACTATACGGCTGCGAAACATGACCTTTAAGAGTAGAAGATATTCGTAAGTTACTAGTATTTGACCACAGGTGCCTTAGAAATATTGTGGGTATCTGCTGGGATCACCGGGTAAGTAATAGTGAGGTTAGACGCAGGGTATTAGGGAATGATGGTAAATCAGTTGATGAGGTTATGAATCTTCATCAACTGAGATGGTTGGGCCACGTACTGCGTATGCCTGAACACCGATTACCACGGCGCGCAATGCTAACCGGTGTTAGGGATAATTGGAAGAAAGTTAGGGGCGGCCAAACCAAAACGTGGCATCAGTGTTTGAAGTCACTAACTTCTGGTCTGAGCCATGTTGGTAGATTCAGACTGCCTGGTTGGGGTCCGCGTGACTATCGTAACCAATGGTTGAAGACTCTTGGTGACATGGCTCAGAATCGATCACAATGGCGTCGGTGTATACACTCTCTATCTTTCTTTAAACTAAGAGATTAAAATCGCTTCATATCTTTCTTTCTAGGAACTAATTCTTTCTTTCTGTACTATATCCTTATATGCAATCTTTCTTCTATATATTACCACCACTGAATTAACTACTTCTATGAATCCGGTGTTCATCTTGTTGTGCTAATGCGGTATGGCAACTTGGACCGATGCATATATTTGCTTGGTCCTACGTTGCAGCTGACTGACTGACTAAACCATAAAATAACTACTTATTTTCTTGCCTGATCGTAGTACGTACATCGTTCATCTTAATTACTTCGTAATGTATTTTTATCAAATGTATGCTTAGTTTTTTAAGAGAAATAAAAGTAGAATATCAAGTTTAACGTATAATCCTTGTTGTTGAGAAAGGTTCATAGGATAAATACTTTAAAAATTGTAGTCAATTACATTATGTATATCACTACTAAATAGAGTGAAATATTTATTTTCTAACCAACTTCACTCTATTAGTCAGAATAAGGATGAATACTAGTTAAGTCTATAATATTACCTCATCTTTTTATAGATCACATCGTAATTTCAATTTCAAAACACTTATTTTCCATGTAGACAAAAGCAAATAGTTCGATGTCTTGAAACATTATTCCCTTCTAATAGACCTGAACTGGTTATTCAGCTATTCAAAGAAGCCGGTGTGCAACCCTCCAAACAGTGTATACAGGTTAGTTTGGCGGTTCTTTTATTTCATATGGTTTGTGTATACATATCCTTGGGTCTTGAGTGGCTTATATTTATCATACCACACTATCAAAACCTATCTCGATCACGGCGAGCAAGATGCTCTCTAACCTCTGCTTCCTGAATGATCTACTAATTATTACCGGTTTATTTTCAATACCGCTTGTTCATAAAGTTGCTAGCGATGGTCATAATTATAATAATATATTCAGCAATCAATCCTCTTACTTTTGCTCAAACCTCTAGGCAACCAGTGGATTTCTTTTTGTGGACTTTACTAACATTCAACTTTCATGAATCATATATATTCGATATCACTTACCACAGAAACGTTTAATGAAAGTTCCGTATTACTTTGATGATAGTATGTCAAGTTATAGAGCCTTATAGTGATTTTCCCTGAAATCAACATCAGTAATGAACAGTTTCAGCTTAACTTCTTATGTTATGCTCAGTTCCTCTGAATTTTCACAATTGGTCCTCTTAGTGATGACTTCTCAAACTATAATGATTTTTCTGGTGATGGATAATCGGTCATTACAATATACACCATAATTTCGATGATGTATAGTCTATGGAAATGTAGTCTTGTGCATTTCTTGAATAAATTACTTGAGGGTTTAATGTTTATTTAGTTTTGAGAATATAAAATGGTATTATTGTACCATCATGTTTTTATTTATGATTTGATAGTACAGATTTAACGTTCAGATTTAACAACTATATCACTTTATCTCACTAGTCATAGAGGGTTGCGGAGAAGTTTCGATCCCAATGCGTATAGTACATTATTCGCTATATTACCTATGGGTTAAAGGTTTTTAGTGTTTCTAGCAACTTGGAGCTATGGATCATTGTTTTGGTGGGTTGACTTTCAACTCTGAGGTTTCGATTTGAAACCATATTCCATCTCTATAGTAATTTGTCATAAAGACACAAAAATCCTTACTGAGTTTATACAGTATGATGTTACACATGAATCATATCTTAAATAAATGTTCTCTTTTTATTTCCTCCAAACAATTAATTTGCAGTTGACAATGTCAGAATTTCGAGATTTATGCTTTGTATATCATCGTATTTGTCAGATTGAACCTGATGTATTCGATTTTGATTATCAAACCCGAACTAATTTACCATTGTGGTATAGTCGTAAGAAAATTCAACGAGAAATGTTAGACAGTCCAACTGGTCTTACGGCCAATCGTGTTCGTCAAGAAATATATGGATTCAGTCAGTAATGGCTATACGCTGTTGTTATTATCATATTGTAATCGATTCTTTAATCAACAATTCATTCTTATAACTTATGAATAAATATACTTCTTCTTCCAATATTTTGAAGTGATTGAATCAGTCATGCATACTTGATACGTAAATATGTGAATTGTTATCTTTTGTTTATGAACTATTAATGAAGAATATTTTAAAGGAATTAAATTTATCAACTGTATTTATGGCCAGTAAAAACTTTCAGCAACGAACTTGTCGTTTATTACTGTTGAGACATTGCTTTTCGCTTGAACGTTTTCTAAATCCACAGATTTGACATTGTATATGTAGATAGATGATTTATGTACTCGACGGTTTACTGTTTATTAGCACATTTAAATTCCTTTTTATCTACATTTGAGATTTAGGTAACCGTGTGGTATTTGTAGTCTTCAAAACCTACCACACGGTCCGGTATTTCATTGTGTTCTGAATTTTAGTTTCATAAAAACATAGTAGACTTAAAGAAAATATTGATTAATGTCCCAATCCTTCTGTATTCAAGTTGAACCATCCCATCTACCAATACCCATATTCAGTGATCATTTGGATCATGTCAATGAAAATCTTTCCCATGTGGAGGTCAAAGGCATTTCTATATCTTTTATGAAGATGACAATTAGTATGTTTCTCAAATTTTTTCAGATATAATCTAAATCTTCACTGAGCACAACGCTAAGTAAAGTAGTTAGATGTAATGTAAATCAGTTATATTTGAAACTTCTTATTTCACGTAATTGTCGTTACTTAGTTGTAAAGTCAACTGGAAACAATTAGTTCATTGTTGAACCACTGATTTATCACTTTTAAAGCTTATAATCAGTATATTTAAAAATTTAAATAGAAAAATGATACTATCTGGTAGTGAGTAGAACGGAGTTTCAACCTATCTAGTATTTGTAAAGCGAACACTAACTAACAAGCCACCACTTCATCGCATTGACTCGTCGTAGAAACTGATTATATTAACTGATCATTCACTACCAGTCAACATCCAACATAGCATCGAAAGTTTTATTACTCTGAAAATCCCCGACTGTTGTTGCTACCTTGAGGTGGTGTTTGGGCTTGCCTATCGTGATGAACTAATCGAGCTATACTGGCTTGAACAATCGTTCTCCAAGGTCCTACCATACCAAACAGGTCTGTTGATGAGCGGTAAGACTAAAAGCAACAAACCCAAGGTCCGAAGACGAAGTCGTAGTGTGACGACAGTAAGGTGTTTCCTTCAGACAACCAGCGTGACAGCGATGCTGCCTTCTCACAAGGAAGGGTGGGGTTAGAAAAGGTCAACCCTAAAGATGTACACCTCGCCTTGTCCCACGGATATCCGTCTCCGGTGGTAAGGTCTCAACAAGTACGGAGCTAACACGAAAATTACTCATAAAAAAGTCATGTGTGACCGACCTCAAGCAGTTGTGCCTTGGGCACTGAGGTCACGCTCTCAGGTCATTAAGACCACCTCTAATTCAATTTCCTTTTCAGGTACCTCTAGAAGAACCCTTCCACGGTGTGGGCAACCGGGTAGTGATAACCGCCCTCGTACCTCTAACAGCACCACTGTATTCACAATCAACCTCCCTCTTCAATTCCTATTACTCCTACATCGACTTCCAACTCTAAACTTCCTCTTTTGGTTTCCTCCTCAAGTGTCGCCATAGCCAACGATTCGAGTGCGCAAAACACTGTTCAATGTCTACTGAAACCTCGCTCCAAACTACACATTGGAGCATTCAATGTACGCAGCACCCTATGTCAAATCGGTCAACAGGCTTCCTTGGCTAAAACTAGAATCTCGTACTATTGATGTATGCTGTGTCTCCGAAACACACATACAATATCCTAGTGTGATTATTCACTAGACCTCACCTCGCCAAAATGGAGAGCCGACGCGATACACCCTCTGTGTATCTGGCGACCCGATGGTTAGTTCTTGAGGACTGGCAGGTGTAGACATAGCACTAAGTACGAGGACGGAACAAGCACTATTAGAGTGGATCTCCGTTAACAGTCATCTATGCGCTGTTCGGCTAAACGGCTCCGTAAGAACTCGGAAGGATAGGGACATACATCGTTGTCTTTTCGTCGTTTCTCCCTACGCTTCCACTGTCTGCAGAACTGATGAACTGAAAGATAACTTTTACAGAAAGCTAAACACTCGGACATTTAGGTGGGTATTTTAGTATTCCGGCAGAGGGAACAGATAATGGTGATCGTCTGCTGCAACTGTGCTCCGACATTTGTTTATTTTTAACAAGCACCAATTTTAAGTATAAGGAGAAGCATCGTCTAACATGGCGACCTCCTTCACCAAACCAACAATGGACTCAAATAGACCATATTGCTATCAGTCTTCGTTGGAGAGGGTCGATAGAAGGTTGTCGCTCATTATTGAGTACCTGCTTTGACTCCGACCATGCTCTAATACGGGCAAGCATCTACTCCCGAGAGTGGGGAGAGTCCGCTCTCCCTCTCGAAATACTCTCACATTGCCACGCGTATACAGCCCCTTCCAGGGAAGTCCTACTCACTGCATTCTTGTGGCGAGGGTGTTGTTTACGAAAATGAGAGGACGAAAAGCGAACGTCCGGCGCTATAACCAGATCCCAAACCAATGGTGCACATGGGCTCCAGTATCCTGCGGGAACAAATGGCGTAATAACCAATCGTTGGTCACCGGCTACCATGGGACTGCATCTCCTCACGATGCTCCACTGCCTTTTGGATCAGACCTTTAGGTCGAAGGCTCGAGGTGTGGCCCCCTAAGAAAACCATCTGCTTCGGTTTGGGCACTCGGGCAGTATCACAGCCCTCACACATATCAAATGAGATCTGTGTGGCGCATATGTATTTGGTGCCTTCTTGTACCGATATCTATGTGTCAAAATAATAATAATAAAGCAGAAGTCTGAGGAACGACCGTGAGCAGTAATGGAACAGGCGGCGGCTGTAGGTAACACAAGACAGCTGTACAGACTACTAAAAGAAACTGGAATTAAGAAGTCAAGTGTAAGTGAGACATTCTCGGAAAAAGACGACACTCATATGCTCCCAGTCCAGACTTTAGAACGATGGGCGGAACATTTTAAGGAGCAGTTCAACTGGCCTTCAGCTACTCTACAACTGCCCACCATTCCCAGATACTGTGAATGGAATATTAAAGTAGATCCCCCGATTTTATCTGAAGTTCAAAAGGCTATAGTTAATCTAAAACGAGGAAGAGCAGATGGTCCATATGAATTGACTCCAGAAGTCTTTAAGAATGGTGGTGCGATTTTGGCGATCAGGTTGACTAATATTTTAGCTAAATCTTGGAGTTGGACGTAATCCCATCTGACTGGTCAAAGTCACTGATTGTCCTAATATATAAGAAATAGTCAAAATCATCATGTGATAACCATAGAGGGATTGGTTTAACTAATATAGAATGTAAATACTAGCCCCAATAATTATCGCACGCCTAACTAAGACTCGTGAACTGCAAACACGAGAAAATCAGGCTGGCTTCAGACCTGGTCGTGGATGCATAGACCACATTTTCATTCGTCAGGTTCTAGAACACAGGCATACTTATCGGCTTCCGACAATGGATGTCTTCCTTGAGTTAAAAGCAACATTTGACCGAGAGGTTCTGTGGCAGTGTCTGTTTTTGAAAGATGTACGTCAGAAGTACATAAACCTTGTGAAGGCTCTTTACTTGAACACTACTAGTCGAGTCAGAGCCTATGGCGAACTGTCATCTGCTTTTGCAACCTCAAGTGGTGTCTGTCATGGCTGTCCACTTTCTCCATTTTTGTTTAACTTCATCAAAGACCTACTAATGGAAATAAGGCTCTCATCGACTGAATTTTCGGGCATTGACCTCCTACCAGGATGTCCACTTATCGACTTTGGATACGCAGATGACATAGTCCTGTTTCGTGAAGACGCTGATAAAATGCAGAGTCTTTTGGTAGCGCTGAGAAACAATGCCCGAATGTTTGGGATGCGCTTCTCTCCCTCTAAATGCAAGTTGTTGCTTCAGGACTGGCCTGCGTCAACACTTGAACTAAGGATAGGGAGTGAAGTAGTAGAACGCGTTGACAACTTCACCCATCTTGGAAGTCTGACCAGCCCTAATTGCTTGGTGTCCGACGAAATCTCAGCACGGATTCGAAAAGCTCGTTTGGCCTTTGCCAACTTACGTCATCTATGGCGAAGGCGAGATATCCGTCTATCAATTAAGGGACGAGTATACTGCGCGGCAGTTCGCTCCGTTCTACTATACGGCTGCGAAACATGACCTTTAAGAGTAGAAGATATTCGTAAGTTACTAGTATTTGACCACAGGTGCCTTAGAAATATTGTGGGTATCTGCTGGGATCACCGGGTAAGTAATAGTGAGGTTAGACGCAGGGTATTAGGGAATGATGGTAAATCAGTTGATGAGGTTATGAATCTTCATCAACTGAGATGGTTGGGCCACGTACTGCGTATGCCTGAACACCGATTACCACGGCGCGCAATGCTAACCGGTGTTAGGGATAATTGGAAGAAAGTTAGGGGCGGCCAAACCAAAACGTGGCATCAGTGTTTGAAGTCACTAACTTCTGGTCTGAGCCATGTTGGTAGATTCAGACTGCCTGGTTGGGGTCCGCGTGACTATCGTAACCAATGGTTGAAGACTCTTGGTGACATGGCTCAGAATCGATCACAATGGCGTCGGTGTATACACTCTCTATCTTTCTTTAAACTAAGAGATTAAAATCGCTTCATATCTTTCTTTCTAGGAACTAATTCTTTCTTTCTGTACTATATCCTTATATGCAATCTTTCTTCTATATATTACCACCACTGAATTAACTACTTCTATGAATCCGGTGTTCATCTTGTTGTGCTAATGCGGTATGGCAACTTGGACCGATGCATATATTTGCTTGGTCCTACGTTGTAACTGACTGAATGACTGAAAATCTTACATCTACAGAAAAGCATCATTCAATAATACTAGTTGGGTACAAACAATTGTATCATACAACTAAGGTATTTGTTTGCTTTGTTTATTCGTCAGCATTTCGAAAGTCATAGCGTCATTAAATTGTTAACTTCGACTTGATCATAGTCTCATTTTAAGCCGTAGAAGATAGACTATATACAGTATATTCCATTTTCTTAGTCAACTTTTTATTCAAAATTGTAATAAAAATAAAATTTTATCAATATTTCTTTTATATGTAGTCATTTTCAAAAGTAGTTAATTCAGCAATGTAGTTCATTTTGAAAACTGTACAATAATGTCATATATGTATTATGCTGTAAATAATAGATTTTAAACATGATTCTTTTGTTTATCATATAATGATCTAGAATCAAATAACTGATTATATATAGTCTTTTGGTTAAATTCACAATTCAATTTTAAATTAGCCTACCGTTTAACCAATTTAGTGAAACCGATTTTATGATAATGTCAAACAAGTGAGTAATTCTTTTTCTGATATCGTGTAAATAAATATACATGTGTTTGTCGATTCAAATACATTCGAAGATAAAAGGAATATTGTCGTTTCTCTTGTATGGTTATGCAATGTTTATTGCTATTTCTATAACTATGCTGAATCACATAATAAACTTTTTATTCTTGAGGTAATGATGAATAAGTTAAGGTATAATTAGGATTTAAATAAATATTCTGTTCATTAGGTAGTTTTTTCAGTGCATTGTTATTATAATAATTATCATTAATTTGAAGTGATTCAAAGACTAGTTCGTGCAAGGAATTGCGCGGGTATTGGTTTTCAACTGGACATTGATTATAGTTATTTCTATCGAAATACAACGATTGGTTAGTTGTTATATGATTGAAGCCCATGTTAGCCCATTCATTTTCTGTACATATGATGGTATTGTATTTCTCTGGATAAATAATGGTAAAATGCATAGCGGTAGTTTAATATATTATTATTAATGATAGAGCAACTATATGTAATCCACTAACCTACAATTAATTATCAAAATACAGTGATACCTAATGAGAGGACGGATATTTCACTACTTAGTGAAAATAAGTGAGTTAAGTGGCTAACATGTCTTTTTTCAATCAGCAGTTTATTGAAAGGGGAGAATTTAGTCATTGAAATTCAGTTCATTGATTCGTAGATTAATTGAATTCGATTCCCAGTTCTGCAGTTGTAGAGAAGGACTTCTAAGGTGTACCATACTAGAACAAAACGGTGATTTAGTGACCTACAACTTTTTAAAGGTTGTCTAACTTACATCGGTTCTTGATCTCAATATTTTACTCTTTGTTAAGTCGGGATTATAGTTTGTACTTCAAAGCAAAATTTTATTCTATACTATTAAAACAACTGATTGATACGGCATTTACAAATTTTGAAAGGTAGTACACTGATTGATTACCATTAAATTTTCACAGCCATTCGATCGAGTGTCCTTTTAATTTCATGAGAAAAAGTCTACACCTACTTTACTGTTGAAATTATGTCAATATTAATTGTTTCTACAGCTCAGTAATCATATCCAGGCTCGTTTTTTTTGAATACACTCTGCCAGAGTGAAGTTTTTAGCCTGTGACTAAATTTTTGTAAGTCGAAGGTTCAAGCTATCAGGTTACTTTTGCTTTTGTCAACCAAATACTTTGAATAATTATTGTCTTTCAAATCCTTAGTGTTACCGTCCATGTAGAAGACACGCTTTTAGGAGAGAACGGGATTTGTTTTCAACTTGAATCTAGTAGTAACCATATTGTTAACTCACAGATCTATTGAATAAACGACTTGATGCCAAAGCTGTCTGAATCTTAACTTGTTTATGGTCATCGGATACTGACAGTTACAGTAGTTCTGATTCGCCTCACAACACTGACTTAGCCAAAACGCTATCGACATCAAACGGACAACAAAACTATCGGATGAACGAGGGTGAGGTTTTTTAGTTTATAACCAGGTATTTTCTCAATTTTGTTCATTATTCAGGAAAACGTTAATACAATACACGGACGGCTTCATCCGGAATTTAGTTCTCATGATTGAAAGCTGGAGACCTGTTGAAACCTGGTTAGCAATTAAAAGTTATGTCATTCTTACTCGTCGCGAGGGCATAGGGTACCGGCCTGGTGTTTCCAACCAACTGTGTTGAGAGCTCTCGTTTGCAGTTTATGCCTAGTGCTATTCATGATCTTGATCTCTGAGTCAAATTCGCGGTACAACTTGTTCTTTGGTCCGCGCCTTTTCCTTTCGTCTAATAGTTTACACAGAGTGAGTTCTATTCAGTTCGTGTTCTTTTCTAACCTCCTCAACCGGCATCTGATTTGTTCTCAGAGTAGGTTATTACTAATGGTCTATGACTAATGGATTTGGTGTATCTTGCGCAGACAGCTGTGCCCTGTTACGGCTGAGAGTGAAAAGAGTCAGTTCTCCCTCACAAAATACTCTCACATGGCCACGCGTATACAGTCACTGTCTGAGAAGTCCTACTCTCTGTCTTCCCGTGGCAGAGGTGCTGTTTATGAAATAAAGAGGATGAAAGGCAAATATCTGGAACAGGGAGGGTCTACCTAGTGGAATTGGAAAACCTTGATTCCAAACCAATCCTGTACATGGGCTCCAGAATCCTGGGGTAAAAATGGCTTATGAGCCAATCGTTGGTGACCGGCTACCATGGGACTGCATCTCCTGACATTGCTCGACTGCCTTGTGAATCAGACCTTTAGGTCGAAGGCTCCGAATGTAGCCCCTAAGAAAACCATCTGCTTCAGTCTGGGCAGCCGGACAGGATCCGAGCCCACACACGAATCAAGTGAGTTGTGTAACGCATATGTATTCGATGCCCCTTTGTACCAATATTTATGTGTTTAAATAAATATTAATAGAAAGCTGTTTGCAAATACGTGAACACTTTTAGCAATGGTGGTAACAGTTTCTTAAACTTCAACTCCTTACAATATCACTGTTTTGACGTTTATGTAGAGAATTCTGATTATACTCATGAGTGACAGTTGTTTTGAGCTACAGATATTCTTCAATTGTAGGAATGATGCCTTAGCTTTGCCGATCATGCCTTCAAATCTGTATCAGAACCTGCTTGTTTATCAGTGATGCTGCCCATGTTCGAAAAGGCTTTCACTTATCTCATGTCTGCTCCAATAAGTAGGATTTATTCGCTGAAGCCTAATTTTAAAGCATCCATCTCTACCCTGTTTGTTTTCATCAGCATTTATTACTGTGAGTTTGATAAAAGAGCTAATTCATCCACAAAGTCCAGATCATGCAGTTATGTTCAGGGTTTTTACTGCATTCCTTGCTTCTCTTGATATATGAAGGTCTTCACAATCCAGTTAGCAG